ATGTCCAGCCTCTTTCTGAGCGGTAGCTTGGGGTGAGCATTTCTGTTCATCCCCAGCCCCCGCCCTAAATTGAGGTGAGCATTGCTGTCCAGCCTCGGGATTGGTTGGTTTTTTGTTCTTAGTGTCCATGTATGTTCCCACGAGTAGCAAGGGAAGGGTTGGTCACCTCTAGCAGAGCCCCGCATTACCAGAGGAAGGCTAGTTACAATGAGGTTTCGCCCGGTTCCTCAAGGGGATCGTTCGTAACCGCATATAACCCTGCGGCCATTCAGCTGTCGACACGATTCCTTACATCTTAGCTTGGGTAGGCTGGTCCGCGGTGGCATGTTTTGCAGGGCTTTTGGGGGGTTTTAGTTCCCCTCACCCTACTTATTTCTGCCACTGACCAGGAGTCCGTCAACCCCGTCCGTTAGGCCACATTGGCTTCCCGGACAGGACCTTCAGTCCCCTGGGGACACGCCCGATAGGTAGCCCAACCCACGGGCTCACACTTCCTTATTGGGAATGCTAGTGAGGCTAGCAAGCAGTATCACTGAAAACACAAAATTCTAAAAAAATTCTCACTTATTTCAAGAGTATATCCATATCCAAGAATAATCCATCTACATTTGAATGGATGGAATCCTTCTAGATGAATATTCCCAATCAACTTAGATATTCTCAACCCTCAGTCACCTTCTTTTCTGTCTCACACAATTGCTAATATCAGTTTCACTCACAAATAATCATCTGTCTATGACAATGGGATGGAACAACGCCATTCTCAAGAGGTATTGGAGTAAAATACCCTCTCCACAGTATTTTCATTTCCACTCTACTCATTTGGAGTAATGAAGTAGACTTTTGAGAAATTATACCAATTAGATCTGGAGACCAGATGAATGATACTCCTCCAATGCAATTTGCATTATTAACTATCCACTTCATGGTTATACGTTCCCCAACAACTGAAGGCCTTGGACTTTCGAGTTTGGTTTCTTTCCCCCTTTCTGCATGAATCATAACTTCAAAAAGGCAAATATTGAAGCGTTTCTAATTAAGGTAGCTTCCTGAGTGGGTTAACTTGGATTGGTTTTCGACATTGAACGAGGTGACCAGAGATCTGTATCAAGTTGGATCCCGTTCAGCCCAAATAATAATAGCCGCAGAGACTAGCTGATTCTAATGGTTACATAAACATAAGCTGATGTACAGAGTCTTTTTTGAGAACATCGAAAACCTTGGCTCATCTAAGAACCTGAACATTGCCTTCGTCTGGCTAACTGGGATGAAGTCGGACACTAAAGAATTTTTCATACTTCCTTTTCAGTAAAACCAGTCTTAGCCTATATCCGATGACATAACGCGACGCTGCCGATGTTGAATAACCTACTCCGGCACTTAATGAGGGCAAAGATCACTGCCATTTTGTGTTGAGCTATCAAACTGGCAGTGGCAGGTTTTATTGCTTGATATAATTGATATAATTGATATTTTAGCTATTCATTCAAATTTTATTTGTTCTTTAATAGATTTCGAATCATAGTGGAATCATGTTAGACAATGAAAGCACGAACTAATGACATTTTTTTCAATACATGTTGCTTTCATGTGAACATGATACTTACATTCCCTTTATAGAAACTTCAAGTTGGTAATATTATATTTTTTTAGTAAAATCACGTTATATGTTGATATGTATCAGTACTATATTTATTCATTATTTTGGGAGGAAGTGCCTAGAAAATGTCCTATCATAAAATAGAAATTACTATAGTAGTAAACATTATGGAACCAAAATCCCACTATGAAAGGAAGAAATTAAATTCATTTTGTCGATACGACCAACCGATAGACCAGTTTCATGGTACTTGATCCGGGCATGGTTTCTTCAGAAGGAGTAAACCGTCTGAGTATCACGACCAAACCCCCCCATGCCCCCTCCCGGGTTGAGTGTCCTGAGTTGAAATCTTCCCCACACGGTTAATATGTGCAGAACATCCCATCTCGTCTATTCATCCCCGCTCCTCTGGAGCGGACCTCAACTTACTGATGGGCACTCCAGCAAGATTGACATCTGACCTTCTTTGGTCGAAAGTCAGCCTGTAGGTGCTTTTACTTTCTGATCTGTTGAATTCTTTTATCATGACTTTCCTAACTAAATTATTGCATGGGGTCCCCAAAAACTAACTGGAGACGAGTGTCTTTTTAGTCGCGAGCAATGTTGTTTCTCAGTGAATCTTAAAATGAGATTAATTTAAAGTCTGGTTGAGAAATTTCTATACTTACCGGAGCTGTCTGACGGCGACTCTCGGGGGTGGTCTTTGGTTCTGCTTCGTTGGGGTCATCCCTGTTTAGTGCGTTATATTGGTCGCTTAGCGCTGGGTTGTCGCGCCCTCGAATTCTGTCGAACGTGTCCTCTGCGTGTTTCCTCATGTATGCGTCCACGTAGTGTATGTTCAGGTCTAGATCCCGGAATATGTACCTATTCGGTACATATCTTGGAGCGTTTACTGCGGCCCTTAACACTCGCGTTCATAAACGACTGGATCTGTCTTCTGTATGTCGCTGCGCACTGCCCCAGGCAGTGCAGGAATACAGGATTGTCGTTAGTATTACGGTCTTTATCATCAGCAGCTTCACTTTCAGTCCCATGTTGCTTCGTCGACCTATTATTGGTAATAGGTTTTGTCGGGCAGATCTCACCATTCCTCTTCTCTGCCGTATGTGAGACCTGAACTTTAATCCTTTGTCTAGGTAGACCCCGAAGTATCTAGCTTCGTTGGTCCACGGAATCTCTTATCAGTTGAAGATGACATTTTCTTCAGGGTGTACCCTCCTCCGGGTGAACAGTATTGCCTGGCTCTTATCAGGGTTATACTGATCTTCCACAGGTTGGCCCATTCCTCTAATCTATCTGCCTGTTGCTGCAAGTATCTAGTGACGTGCGCTTGGCTTGTTGATCTCGCCAGAAGAGCTGTGTCGTCCGCGTAGAGCGCCAACTTGTTGAAGTTGTTCTCCGGCTTGGGCAACTTGATAATGGTTTTGAAAATGTGTATTGACTTTATGTACTACGTGCATTATAGCATGTTCATGATGTATTAAAAAAGATACTCGTCTATTTTAGGTGTTACTGGTAGTCGTAATTTAGACATAGAACAGTTTGGTGTTGATTCAGTCAAATTAAAGTGGTCTGAAATTAGTACAGATGTTTCATGTGAGGGGAAGAGATTTCCATATGAAGTGCAGTGGAGAAGAGACATTCCATATTCTTCAGATAGCGATGAAACTTCTGAGCTAACATATACTGTCAAAGGTAAGTTTGAACAAGGATGTATGAGAGATGATTGTTACTGGAAATATTGAATGACTATGGACTCAGTGTTATACATTTTTCAATAATAGATTTTACTGAAAGTTTACTCAAAATATTGTTTTTGTTATTTTTTGGCCTAATTATTTTTTTTGGTACATAATAAGATTGAAACGTTCTATTTTGTTAATCATAATAAATATCACAAGAATTGCATAACAGGTTGAACAATTTTGTAGTTTTTAACAAGCAACCTATACATTTCATTAAAATAAAGGATGAGTTCTTATATATTTTTTTTCAGGACTATTTCCAGGTATAAAATATGGATTCAGAGTGGTGTCTACAATGAAACCAGAAAATTCTCCTTGGGTCGAATATACTTTCCGAGGTGCAATACAGGACGATTTTGAAAATAACTCCAAAGGAATTGACACAACCCCAGTCCCACCTGAACAAATAAGATCATCCATAGTATCACCTTTTTCTGTCAAATTGAAATGGACTAACTCTGAAAAAAACTCCAAATATTTTGTTGTATGTTATGTTCCAATTTTTGATGGCAGCAGCTGTGAAAATGGAACATATCTTAATAGGTGAACTTTTTAATTGTCTTCTGAATGTTTTATATTAGTTTGAGTACAAAATGAAAGGTGTGAGATTTGAAGTGAATATCCAGTCTTAGCCTATATCCGATGACATAACGCGACGCTGCCGATGTTGAATAACCTACTCCGGCTTTTAATGAGGGCAAAGATCACTGCCATTTTGTGTTGAGCTATCAAACTGGCAGTGGCAGGTTTTATTGCTTGATATAATTGATATTTTAGCTATTCATAGACGCCATTTGACATCATTTCTTAAGCAAAATCTACTGCCAAAATCAAATTTCACATAAAAGGATAAATAAAAAAGTTTCCCATTTGATGCGGACTTTATCGGTGACACTGTATATGAACTTTTGAAGTACCTAACTATTTGAATTTTTAGGAGGAAAACTGAAAATTTGAATGAAAGTCAACTATTTTCCAATGTTTTGATTATTTATATCCACAATCGCATTCGGGTTGGGATTCACATATTCCATTAATATGTTAAAATAGGTTAGAATGGGATTTACCATTAACCAATTGTTATTCTAATAGTAACCCTTAAAAATCCAAAAATGATAGAATTAACAGTGTTACTTTTCACAGTACAATTATTAGCTTGACCTAAGACCTAAGTGATTGCATGGAAAGTTCACTCGAGAACCGTTTATATATACAGGGTATATATTTATGAATAAACTTCGTATGAACTCGCTTCATTTTCCAGAAATATAATGCCAGAGTTTCAATCAAAAAAATTTTTTTATTAATTACTCACGATAAACATTTTATACTGCCATATGGATTATCATCCACTGATTGTAGAAGCAAACAAGATGAAGTTTGAAAGACAATAATTTTACTATTTCAGTGAATCAAACGAATTGCAAGTGAAAAAATTAAAACCAGACACTAAATATGAATTCAGAGTTCGTACACATAACTTGAAAGGCATTCCAGGACCATTTTCAGAATCAGTGATTGTTCATACTCCTGCAGATGGTAAGTGAACTGTCCAAGAATGTTCTTCATTTGTACTTCAAAAGATTATAACTAGTAACTCTAGGAGATCTTAAATTTCCATTTAATAAATGTAAGACAAATATTTTTCAGTTCCTTCAGCCGTATCGGACCTCAGTTATAATGTTGTAAATGAGAGTGCTGCCTATCTTCACTGGAAAGCACCAACATATAAAGGCAGCAAGATTCTTGAATATATCATCTCTTACACCCCAGATATAAATTGGGCTCTTGAAAGTTGGATTAATATATCTATTCCTGCCAAAGGAGAAGATAATGTTTCTATGTTGCTGGTGAATTTGAGTTCCAATGCTATTTATAGTGTATTAGTTAGAGCTGTTTCGGAACTGGGCATAGGCAGACATACTTTTCCTTTACTGGTTACAACTAAAATTGTTACCGAACCTCCTTATAAAGCTGACAGTAGTTCATATCATCAGAAAGTAGGTGAGTTATATTCATGGATGGATGGTAATATTAAGATTTCATTTTTCTTCATTACAATTTTGTTGATTCTATTGGAGATATTTGGAGGTCCCTAAATACTGCTCATGTAAACTTTGACATATTATATATGATATACTAACAAGGGTCAAAGACGTTATTGATAGATTTACTTCATGGTGCCAACATAATCATTTAATATTGAATACCTCTAAATCCGTCTCACTGAAATTTTATAACAGAAAAAATTACATCCCAAGGGAAATTGACCTTACTGATGAAATAATGATGTCACGTGACGTAAAATTTCTAGGAACTATATTAGATGAATCTCTAAATTGGGATCTGCATATTGATAGTGTCTGCGAGAAACTAAATTCAGCTTTTTTTGCAATGAAACAAATGAAATTGGGTGTAGATTCACAAAGCCTTCTAAGCATTAACTTTGCAATGGCATATCCACATATTTCTCTAAATATTATGTCATGGGGATGTGGTAGAGATTTTAATAGAATATTTGTTGCCCAAAAACGTATTATAAGATTAATTTTTGATATAATTTGTTTTAGTTTTTTTATCTATATATGACAAATCATGATTTTATTTGTTTTTATATTATAAGTACTTCTATTGACTTACCATATCTACATTAAGTACCGAAATGGCTAATAAATATTATTATTATTATGAGTTGAGTTGTAGATGTCATGTATAAGTTTTGAGCTGTCATAATTGAATTCAATTTATATCTAAAAATCTTCCTATTTATCAGGTGCGCCGTTCAAAATTGATTTTATTGGTTAATCCGTTAAATTACGTTCATATTAAAAATATAACCACCACAAAACAAGTTTTGGATTATTAAACAAAAGCATTTCAAGAAGACGGGTTGGTGAGAAGAGTTGGACTACTGCGTATTCTAATGTTTTCGAAATTAGAAGATGCCCCTTTGGTCGCTCGGGAAGTTAATAACAATGATTAGGCACTCAATCTAAATATTTTTGCTTTCGAGTATACTTTTAATATTCAGTTTATTGTTACATAACATATTCAATAATTGACTTTCTGAATATAGCATAATGTTGATGTTAATTAGAAAAAAGTGAAATTGAACTGAGGATAAGAGCAAAAACTCCATGCTCCATGTCACTTGGCAGACTTTTATGAGTAAAACAAAAAGAAAATGCAATTACTTACTATTCAATTTAATATTTTTTCCAACATTTCTACTACATTTTTTTCAACATTCCGGTGCCAGTACGATCATTGGTAGTGAGGTTTTATTATTTTCAGTTGATGGTTGAAGTTATCACACAATTCCACAGAGAACAAATTCGGTGTACTCTTACGTGTTGAAAAATGTTGAAATGATTAACGAGTCATACATTTCCTGGATATTTTCGAGTTTAATTTCTCAATAAAAGTTCAATAAATTGTCCCTCCAGAAAACACTATGTGTGAGTGGATTTCTGCTCAAAATATAAGCAGAACAAATGTGTTTAGGTATTCATTCACTTGAATATCCACACGATCTAAAGTTTGTTCACAGTATAAACAGAAACAAAATGATAGATTATTCAATAATCTCCATTTATATTTAGAACACAATTAATTAAAAGAATATCAGGTTTTAATTGATAGGGGTAAACAAACAAATATAATTTTGTATTCGAGTATCGTCTGAATTCAATTATCCTATGTAGAACTCACAACAGTATACCGTCACAATCATCCTATGTAGAATTCACAACAGTATACCGTCACATGAACAGCAATATTAACGGCATCTATTTTTTTTTTAAGTATAAATGAATTCAAGTAAGTCGTATTCGTCATCAAATTTGCATGAAAATTCAAAATGTATGAGTCACTACACCAGTGTATAGTAATCTTAGTCACCACCAGATGTGCCTTTCTACTAGTAGAACCATGGACATATTTTCTCCAACCGAGTTACTCAAGTAGAGAAATCCAACGAGAACAGGAACCAGGAGATTTCCATAGACAAATTACAGGATGGACAAAATTAAGTCACGATAACAAACGTGGAAAAAAAGCATTTTGTTGTGGGTTGGATATACAAATTGTAGAAGAGAGGCCTTCAGAACACATTGTTCAAATACCCTACTGGCAGGGAAGATGAACTGAGAGCATGATTAAGAAATGTCATGAAGTCAGCACAACAAGCAACTCAAAGTTTCACGAACAACAGTGTCAGAGTTACTGGATATGTACAACATAGCAAATGACCAGCTGGTAACTGCACAGGTATGTTATAGGGGTATGAACTATTACAGAACAGAAATAACGACAGAAGTTGGAAAACGGACTTCGTAAATGATTTCCATACATTTTTCTGTAATATACCTAAGGAGAAAATTCAGAACAATGAATTAGGATGCAAACTCAAATCACATATCAGATAAAAGTACAATGTCAAAGATTTGAAACCGGTGCTTTTGATTGATGCAGGGATAGCAAACCTCCCAGACTGCCTATAAAGATCATCACCCGAAGCAGTTCACGAAAGTTTCAATTATTATTCAGAGTAAAACAAGTACGAGATGTCAACCCCAATGTTGATACATCCGACGTCGAAACAGTCCAGGAGAAAGTTACAGTATCCTGCTACTCCACAAGGAGAGTCAGGTGGACTACAAACGCCCTAGGTTAAGTTAGATGTGTCAGTTAGAAAAGTAAGAATAAGCATTATTTTCATTTTTCTCTTATGATAAGGGCTATTCCCAAGGTTATGTTTAAGAATTTGTTTTATAGGAACATATAATTTTTTAGTAAAGGGAGAAGTGTCTTGGGGCATTTGGTTGAATAGCGTTGACCAGTGTAATGGAGTATTCAGCTCCATTCTTACTTATCTCCGTGCCCACCTGGTAGATGCTTATTTCTGTGACCGCTCCATTGCTGAAAGTATTCGAAGATCAATTTTAATATGTGTTTCAGATAGAGAATGATTGTTGGGAAATATATAATAAATGTCATTTATTAGTGAATACCAAAGGGCCATCGACCGAAGTCCTTCAGCCAGTGTACTATTTTTAAATATTTGCAGTGATTTTTACANAAGAAATACATTGCTGGGAGAATTTACAGAGAAGTAGCGTAGATATTTCAGGTACTTTAGGTAAATTTGCCTCTATTTGGGTTACAACAGGTAATATTCTTTGTGTTGGAACTTCTCTAGGTTTACTGTTTCTAGGAGTATGTATTGTTTTGTGTAATGAATGTTAGGTCTTGTTGTGTTTTGATTTGTATTTGTTCCTCGATAAGTGAATTGTGACTTTTAAATTTATTGATGTTTAAGTTATCCCAGATGTCAATACGGTTTCCTTTATTGACTTGTTTCATGAGTTTTATGTTCTCTGATGGGGGAAAGTTAGGTTTTGTATGGCGTGTGTTGCGAGGTTTGATTTATATGTTATTGGGTTTACATATGCCTTTTTGTGCTTTTCGTACCTTTAGATCAGTTTTTTCTTGTTTTGATGTCAATTACCTCTTCCTTGTGATTGAAAAATTGATTCTATGTTTCTTCACCTTCCTTTATAATCATGAACAATGGCCACTCGATTACTTCCGAATTTAACTTATTCTTATATTATTTAGACACCTTTAGGTACTGCTTTACACTTCACAATTTTTATTGCTTGCAATTAGCTGCGGCAATTTGTAGTCAACGGCATTGACTACTTTGGTCATTAGCCTCGTGTTCTGGATAGCAATGTTAATAACTCCCCAAGTCACCTAGAGACTATCATGGTTATTTGCAGTCCATTCATCATGTAACGTTGCAGAATCATCACAACTTCAACTAGATGTCAGCTTATCTTCTGTATTTGTTTCATGGTTAGATAATCTACAAAAATGGTATCTTCAGAACTTTTGCTAATTATTAAATTGTAATAATTTTAATTTTTTGGAACTGTTGAAACTGGTTAGGCAGAATTGAATGTAAAGCTGTGTATTCACTTTATCATTTGCCCTGAATGAGCATCTTTTCGTCCTGTTTCATTCAGTTGTTTTTTGAAGGCGAGCTGCATGTATCCGAAATTTCTCGGTAGTTCAAAGTAAGCATATACTCGGTTTATATTCTATGGTGTCTGCAGTTGAAGCGAACTATATGAGCTGTCGTAGTCCTGGCACTATCAATATAAATACAGAATCCTCAAGTAACATTCTTGTACATTTTTTGAAAGTTGTCATTTGTTTTTAATCGTAAAGTGTTGCCCTTCTCTTGAAACAGTTTTATTGGCAACCATTACGTTTTCCTTTTCATGTTCGAAGAGTGCACAAATACATGTAACTCTAACTCTTTGCACTATCACTCTGCTAGAAAAGCATACTTTGCATTTTTCGTGTCCTACTTGCGGTACGGAATTTGTTTCTGGGGGAGCAGCTGTCAAAACTTATTGAGTTAAGTTTCAATGATACAAAAAAGAGCAGTGAGCTTCATTACCAGAGCTAGAGTGCAAAATTCCTGTGAGCCTTTTTTTTTAGCACATCACATTTTAACAGTCTACTGCCTTTTTATTTTAGAAACAGTCTGCCTAATGCACATAAAAAGCACAAAGATAACATCTCGAAGTCAACTCAGAGTTATGCCACTCGTCTCGCATTCAATATTCCTCTTCCTATCCCGTCAACAGCACAAATTAAAAATTCGATTCTTTATAATAGCAAAAAATATTTCAATAATTTCCCCCTTTCAATCAGAAAGTTAACATGCTACAAACAGTTTCGAAAAAAAAATAGAAAAACTTCTGTTAGATAAAGCTTATTATACTATTGAGGAATTTCTTTCGGGTGACTTCGCAACTTATAATTACAACTTATAATTTTTTTTTATCACAGACTTTTATCCATAGACTTTTTGAAGTGTGCTTGAGCCATATTAATATCTTGTTTTAAATTCTTGACCTTTATGTTAATGTTTCAGATTGTTTTAGTGCTTAAGCCTGCTTTGTCAACAAAACCTTAACTTTTATGAAAATAAAGCATTTCTGACTCTGACTGACAATAAATAACTGACTATGATCTATTTTTGATAACCATTTAAATGGTTGCACATCTACACAAGACAGACTGGGTGCCATATTCAGGTAGCACGAGGTCAACAAAGTGCCCCATTATTTTCGGCACGAATGTTCATTTAAATGCTCAAGTGAGAAGTGTTATATTTGGTTCATTGATGTCATGAAACCTTTCATTCATTCATTCATTATTTCATCAAAAATGGTTCACTTTTAGTGATATAAGTAAACTGAATGTCACTCAATTAACTTCAAATTCAATATGAATAGTTGCTTATATTTAATATGAGTGGCATATACTATTTTTTAATCCTGGGTGAATCCATTTAGTGACTGAGTCGTAGCACATTTTGCATGTAAAATTTGTATTACAGGGCGATGAAGATTTTCCCAATGGTCATGTCAATGATTCTACCAAACCGTTTATGAATGGTCATGCAAATGGTTCAAAACCTTTCGTTAACGGTCATCTTCATATAACTGAAAATCCACAAGTAAGTGAATTAAATTTTATTGAAACAGAATCATTTCTACAAAATACAAAATTTCAAAATCTGTCATCAAGGGCCTGACTACATGCTCGAGTCAGAAGATATTCTTATCTGATCCAAACGTCTATAGTCAACTACTAATCAATTAATTTGTGAAGTCACTTTTTCTAGCGGCAATCAGTTTAACTCGCATGTGGTCAGATGGGCAAAATAAAACCGATTAAAATTTCATGACTAACCAATTTGACCAAAATTTATCGATGAGATCATTTATATTAATCAAATTAGGCAGGATCAATTTAAATTTGACCTATTTTTAAGTTTTTTCGTCAAAACAATTATTATAAATGAAAAAACAAGAAGTAAAAGTTTAGGAGACTGGTTAACTGAAAAGGCATTGTGAGAAATGCTGAAATACCTTTCAGATCCAACAGTTTGTTGGTATGTAGTACATTTACATATAACTAAAGATATCTCCAACAAAAAAAAATACTGCTTGACTCAATGGGATAAAAGCAAATTTTGACACAATTAGACAGAAAAAAAAATTTCATTTTGATTTCATTTCAGTATATCTATCGATAACACTTTCCTCACCAGAACAAAAATACTGTCTTTCGACGCCCATTTAGCTAACCACGTTAACATCAACAGGAGATGACTAAGATGACTCTCCTAACAACTATGCTAATGTTTTTGTACATATCTAGACACATCATTACACAATATAAAAATAAATTAAAATAATTCCTAGAAACTAATGTTATTTGCAACGTGACTGATATCTAATCTTCACTTGTATTCTACCTGTGATATTTTAAAGTGCAAAACGAGGGCTGTTAGGTATGGGACCATTGTCACCGTTAATAGAACTCATTTCACAGTTTCGATTTTTAAACTTTGGAAAGTATCTAAAAATGTGTTACCATGTACCAGTTTCAACAGTTTCAAGTATTCCTCACTAATTCTGTGTTGTTTTCTATGACATGTTGAGCGACACTGGACTTCTCCGGTCTGTGAATCCGAATATGTGAAACATTTTCCTCGTAGTAATCTATTATAGCTAGTATAGTTTGACGTCATACTTTTTTATGCTTGAAGGATACTCGTCACTTTCAGCTACCTCTCTGATAACTTTCTTCTGGATATCATATCTTTCTTTGCTCAAGAGGAACGCGACCCAACGATTATGGACATACAGGATTGCTTACTTACATATATCGCCTTGTTAAACAAGCGCCAAACAGATGTGACGTAACACTGGTGACACTTTTAGCAGCTGCCATAAGACTGTGTGTTATTTTAACATTTTTTGAGGATTATTTTCGAAAAGTATTACATTGTTTTTGTTCATTGTGATTAAATGTTTATTTAACTATACCAATTAGGTTTCTGAAACAATTAGNAGTAAGCAATCCTGTATGTCCATAATCGTTGAACGCGACCAACCTATGTACGAGAAAATGTAGTCCGTCCATTTTTTTATGTGGGCAGTGGTCAGGGATATATCTGAAAGTGCTAGTATTTTTCCTATATACATCAAATTCCAAACCCATATCTGCGTTTTTTATCTGGAACATGCAAAAATGGAAAATTTTTATTTTCAACTTCATTGGTGAACTTTATATTTGGAGATCTTTTGATAAGACAACTCCATAAACTTCTTTTCATTATTTCTATTCATGTCGAAAATAGCAAATACATCATCCACATATCAGATTCAATCTGCTTCTATCTGCTCATGAACAGATTAGCCATAAAAGATGACAATGGGTTGCCTATTTCCGTGCCCTTATGCTACTTTTTGAAACAGCGAACTGAAAGCATTCTGTCCTATGCAAATTTGTGTGAACTGAATATACTCATATGAAAAGGCAGATTTTGTGGCAGGTAACTCCTTTCAGAACCCCGAATATATCTAAAATATATCATAAACATCTATACAGTTTGATAATAATGAAAATATCGCATATTTAGACAGAAAGGAGGCAAAAGCTAACCACGAATAAATTATTCAAAATAAATCCCAAATTAACCAAACAGAACTATACAAACTTGAGATCATCTTCAAGAGGAAGATAAAACTGCAACTTTGACAATTATTTGAAAAAGGCTCTTCGAAATCAGTTTGTTTTTGGTTCAAAAGCCCAAAACATATAAAGCCATTTGCTAGAGCAAAAGGACTAAACTATTGAAAAAGCCATAGTCATTGCAGTCAGCATAGAAACTTCAGACCGGGATGCAGAACAACTACATGGGGCACATGCAGTAGGCAACAGAGACTAATTTTTCAAAAACTCATATACATTTAAGAAATAGGGTTCAAAGACAGAATCATTCTAGATGTTTAAGGTGAGGTTCATATAAACATAAGACTGATAAATGTAATGGTAAAAATATGAAATGTACCAAATGTAATCGGAAAGGCATGGTATGCATGACTTCACAACCAGGTAAGGGACCAATAAATGAAATTTCATCTCTTTGCTATACTGTGCATGAAAACTTGAAGAAAGTTCATGTTAGCATTGGAAGTTGACAGTTCTGAATATGCTGCACCAATAGTCCCAGTGCTAAAAGCAAATGGTAAAGTTTGTATTTGTGGTGCTTTTAACTGTGCGTTAAACCCTAATTTAATAATTGATGAACACCCTGTGCCAACAGTTGAAGAACTTTTTACTTCAATGGCAGGTGAAGATAAGTTAAGTAAACTAGATTTACATCAAGCTACATTCGAAAGGAAGAACGGGAAGAAGATGAAAAATTTCGTATGTTATGCATAGCGAAAGGTTTATATAATATAGAACGCGTTCAATGTATGGAATGGCTGCCATATGGCAGCATACCATACCATATTGAACGTCATTCTAGATGTGAGCGTTTTTTTAGATGATATTGAAATTACGGGTTCAGACGATAATACACATTTCCAAAGACTTTCAGAATATAACATTAGAATTATTCATGCTGAATGTACATTCTTAGCTAAACAAATAGAGTATTATCAACAAATTTGGCAGTCATGAAATGAAAGAAAAAATGGAAACTTTCCAAAACTGAAGAGTATCCCCAAATAAAACTGAAGTGCGAGCTTTTGTGGGCTCATACTCTGTCTGTTTAAAATCTGTTTTTCCGTTAATCAGATGTCGCCCCCAAACGAACGACAACTCTCAGAATTTGAGAAACGTGTGCGAGCTAAGCACTAACAAGGTCTTACCTTTTAACGTCTGATTCCTAACATATTATGCAAGGTTTCTTAATAATTTAAATTATACAATCTATAATTTACTCAAATATAGCATACCCTCTATTTGGAATAAAGATTGTTGTAAATAATTTTTACCAGTAAAGAAAGAAATGATGTCTGACAAGCTGTTGTCTCATTTTGACCCCTCATTGCCATTAGTTTTAGCCACTGATTCAACCCCCCACCGATTCAGCACCTTATGTTCAGCCTGATGGAACTGAGCGTCCTATACAGTTTGTCTCTCAAACTATAACAGGCGTCCAGCAAAATAGCAAAATCACCAAAGATATGCTATTATCTTTGGTAATTTTTTTTATACTTATATGGCAGACCTTTTACGTTGACCAGCAACCTTTGGTTCCAATATATCACCTTCAGTTGGAAATACATACAGTTGAAGCATCACTAACTACATTACAAAAATTGTAAGTAAAGACTTCCGAAGATACTTCTTTGAAACCATTGCTAAATGCACTCAAACTGGGCAAAGAATTCGAAGCTCAATATAGATTCAATATTCCACAATTGGAACTCTCTTCACAAAATACTGGTATATTCCTTCAACAGATAAATAAATAATTTGTATAAATTGTATTGCAAATTAGTGTCAAGTACCAGTTCAACTGAGAAAACTATGGTTGTAGTTACACACATTTTGGAAATAATGTCTATTTTGTGAAGATTTGTAATAATTATCATCAATAACTTTATTATTACTTAGAAATAAATAAATATTTATTTATTTATTTATTCATTAAATTAAGTTTAAGAGATTTCACAATAAATTATATGAATACAACAAATAATTACTTCTAACTTGCAAAAAGTAAAACTAATTTATTAATAAAGAATAACAGCGAGAAAATAAATTTACTGAATTGAAATATTAATTAAATAAATGAATGATTAAGATATAGAAAATTCAATAATTGAGCATGTTTATGTTTATTTTTATTACCATTTATAATTTATTTCTGTTTACTGTAGTTACAACGATGAAAATCTATTGCAAATGTTTCTGTATTCCTTATATTTCTAGAAGGAACATGTAAGCCAATTTGTGCTAGCAATGCAGGGCAGTTAATAAGAGAATTTAATAATTGGAATGAGAGTTTTTTAAGTTAGTTTCCACTCTACGACTACTTAGCTTCATTATATCTGCAACCCTACGAATATCATCTAATGAATGGTTCCTCAAGGGCATTTTTAACTTGAACGACAAAAATTTAAGAAATTTGTTTTGTACCCGTTCAATGTTAAGTGCAGGACTGTCATAGGTGGGTGACCAAATGGAACTGCAATAATCTAAGACTGATCTTACCAGCATTTTTATACAATCAATATTAGAGAAGTCCTTGGAAGTACGACAAATGAAGCCTAGCATTTTTGTTGCTTTGTTTATAATATAATTATAATGTAATCCATCACTACTCCTAAATCAGTTACAAATTCGACACGTGTTAAAAGTTCTCCCGATATGTAGTAATCGTAGTTCACAGGTGTACTCGATAGTACGTCATACATTTACATGTATTCACGTTGAGATTCATATGATTTTGTGAACACCATTCACTAAATCTGTTTGTAAAATTAAGCAATCATCTGGTGTTTGAATTGTCTTAAACATTTTTAAATCATCTGCAAAAAGTAAGATAAAAGGAAATGTTTCAGAAAATAATGCGACTCAGTTCAATTTTCATGGTAGTGTGGAGCTTCTGAAGATATCAACCTGTCGATACATATTCCCATTTCTGAGCATTCGAGTGACAGGAGAGAAAATCCATAATTTGTGGAGTGGAACGGTATTTTAAATGTTTCGGTACTGACTCTGTCTGTTGACATTCAAATTAATTAAAGATAAAATCTCCTCACAGTTGATGTTGCCAGTTAAAATTTTGCTTAAAAAGCATACATCGAAAATAATTCTTCTATTCTTTAAAGATAATAGATTCATCTGATCTCTAATGTTGTTGTATGCATATTCTCCCCTTCTTAGACCTAACTTGTATTCACAGATCCACAGGAAAGTGTTTTGTACAGCTTCAATTTGGTTTATGTGTTTCTCATAATATGGGCACCAAATTATTGAAGCGTACTTCAATAATGATCTAACTAATGAACAATTTAATAACTTGAGAGTGTTCAAACTAAATGCCTTACATGATCTATTGATGAAGCCCAACATCTTGAGTGATTTAGCTATAATATACTCATTATGAGATTTGAAGTTCATTTCACGATCGAACATAATTTCCAAGTCCTTTATCACTGATTTCCTATTAATTGGTATATTATTGATACTGTAGTCATGTAGAACAGAGTGAATAATTCTAGAAAATGTTTGGCAGAAACATTTGGATATATTCAAATTCATTTGATTCATAACACACCAGACATAAAATCGTGACAAATCTTCTTGTGACAATTTTTTTTGAATTTGAATATTTTTACGTCATCAGCGAAAATCAGTACCTCACTATGTTTTATAATTGTAGCTAGGTCATTAATAAATGAGTTAAATAGCAAAGGTCCACAGTGGGAACCCTGAGGAACACCCGAAGGAACAAGAATTGTGGATGATACACAGCCTCCTATTTTTACTATATGGCTTCTACCAGATAAGAAACTCTAGATCCATTGCAAGATTGGTCCATAAAAACCTAACGAAGACAGTTTGGCGATAAGCAAATCTTGGTTGACCCTGTCAAATGCTTTAGAAAAATCTGTATAGATAGAGTCGACCTGTAATCTTTTCTCCAAAGCACCTAACATGTAATTTTCATGAACAAGTAGGTCTGTCACAGTAGATTTGTTACCAACAACAAGAGGAGTTGCTAAAGTATAAATACAATTCTTCAAGAAAATTGATGCATTTGTGGTTGAATAAGTACATTCAAGTACCATACAATACTTTTTTGGGTTTTTTATTCTCCATACTTCCACAATATAGGCAGATGAATACAAAGAAACAAAAAATAATTATACTTTCACAGAAACGGATGTGAACTGTGGCCAACTTCGCATTACATTTCAGCAGAAAAATGTTTACTGACAAGATGTATTTCTTATGACTTTAAACATATATGTATGTATCGTATATCTACTGACGTCACACTCCCTTTTGCCGATCCTATTCGATTCCTCTAGGAATGGAAAAGTTAAATCGATATTTCAATTCAAAAATATTTAGAAAATGGATCTACAGATTTTGGAATATTTCTGTGGAATACTGCCTTTTAAATTTGCTAGTTAAGAATATTGAATAAAATATTTACTTTAATTTTCATCTGATATTCAAACTCTTTACGAATTGTAAGTCAATTTGGTGAACTTATAAGATGATATTCAAGTTGAGCAACTAAATATATTGCAGGCACTCTTCTATTAGGTAATTATTGATCATTCAACTTTTCAAGTTATTCATAATTTATCTTGTATAAAATCAGTTTGACTATTTGGTGCATGTTAGAGGTGATCAATAATAAAAAATATTGAAAGAATAAATGAACAATCAACCAAAATATGGACAAATGATTGGTTGAAAAATTCTTGAACTCGGTTTCAGTGAGGGTACAAAACCTGACTTCCATTTTTGCCATTTGCTCATTCGTTCAATAATTATCAGTCCATAATTTGATAAACTATTTTAAATTTACAAGAATAATTGAAGCACATTTATTACAAACTACATAAAAATAGTGGGCTGTTTACTTCGAATCTCATATCAATAGAAACTAAGCGAGTACACATTTTCATTCTTTCTTGAAAGATTGTCTTTATACTTTATTTTCATTCAAATATTATATACGAGAGCTTTATCATTCCATAGGTGAAATTATTTTGTCTAACTGAATGCTACTCTTCTTTTCAGTATTCAGCAATCGAACGTAAGAACCAGGTTGCGGAAAAATCGAAATATACGCCCTTGAAGCACTTGCAGGAAGACTCAAATTCAAATATCAACTCTTCGAAGTTCTATGATTTACAAAGGCTCTTCGAGAATTCCAAAAAATCCAAATCTTCCAATTATCACCAATGCAATCCCCATTTTGATCAAAATGGATATGAATTGTGTAGTTCATGCGAAGATGTCAATTCATGTGAATCCAGTTGGGATAATTCACTAGATGCAACCCAGATGACATCATTGAATTATTCAGATATTCCTATCATGGGCAATAACCGAAGAAAATCACTTATTTCGGGTCCTAATGGGTAATTTCTAAACAGAATGAGACGAAATCTTTCAACATTAATTACTCCTGATCAAACGTTTATTTTTGTTTCATTTTACTGACTCATTTAACATTTCTCCAAAGGAAATATTACAGCTTTACAAAAGTTGATAAATAGAATGGAACTGACATTTTTTTTTCAATTTTCTGAAACCAAGACAAAGCCGTGATAAGCAATGAGATATTTTACTTTTGGTTTTGTAAATAATTATTGCTCAATAACAACAATATATTCATAAACAGAAGTTCATATCAACTTAGTTCTAGGATTTGTTAAAATTTCATTGTTTTACTGTAAAAAAACTGAGTTGGTATGAACTAAATATAATTGTCTATAGTTGAAAGTCTGGTACCTGAAATTTACTTAGGTGTAGTTAGTTTTAAGAGAGCATTCAAGTTATTTTTATCATGTAGAGATAATTGGAATAATAGACTGATTTCATTTCGCATATATTTCTTGATATGTATTTTTAGTAGGTTGTTAATTGGTACTACAAACAACCTCATACCATTTAACAATCTGCAAAATTCGCCACATTTCATTAGATTTTCATTTTGTAGCAAGATACATTTTTTTCTGAAACTCTTCATATTGATGTTTCCCAGATGTTACCACCAACTTTGGCAGTTGAGCACAGCTTTCTAGTGGACATGACTTGTTTTCAATTGTTGATCTGATTAGAAGAGTGAAATGAAATTTTCAGGAGTAAGTGCAAATTTTTCGGGAAAAATTCATATTGCTGGTATTCATAATCTTAATAAAAGTTGACAAGTCATTTTTTAATCTCAACATTTTCTAAGACTGAGAATATTTTTGAATAGTTTGTTTTATGAACTGACTAGGTCTATAGTTTGGCCTGTTTTCATGATCGAATTCATTAATATTTGGGTAATTGTGAATATATCACAATTTGTTTTCAAAATAGACTCAATTACCAATAGAATCAGTCAAGTGAGGTGAAATAGTAAATTCAAATTTAGATGTTTGGGAGAATTTTTCATATATCATTTTCATATAATTCATTTTTTCAGTCCAGTTTACTGTTTTTCTCATATCTCAATTAAGGCATATAGACTGAATAATTTGTGCTTGCTGAATTAAAGTGCATATATTTGAACGAGAATTGGAAACAACAATAAACTACTTCTGTCCTCACAAAGGATGTGCAAGTAAAAATCTACAAATGGTTTATGCTATATTCTGATGACTCTATATATGGTTAACGTTTGTATAATATGTATGAATGTGTGGTGAATGGCAGTACATTATAATATGAAAATTACATGTATAGTTGTTAATTATGATGTTACATGTTACGTAAGTAATCGGAAAAACAAACAGTGTTGTATATTCTATAATACACGTTACCACGTATATTGTTCAATTAAAATATTGACCCAAAGAATAATTCGTTATTTAAAGAAAAATGCAGAATGTACAAAAATTTTATAAAATGTTATTTGTCAGATTGATGTGGTATGTGCCTTTCATAGTGTATAAAACAACGATTATTTATTTCTGAAATCTAGAGTAGTTACCGTTTATTCTGTTCATTCATTTATGTATTTTTTCTTTTATATTTGAACTTTAATGCTCAAATAATATTAATGATCTGAAAATTGAATATGAATCTCATTACGTTCATGTCAGCATAATACTTTTGTGATTGAATTTCAACTTTTGTTTCAATTTATTTAAAAAATAACGTTGAATATTTAACATCTTCATTCGAAGATTTTCAAATACCTCAAAATAACATTCCTCTATAACTTCGAGTATTAAATGGCCGCTTATTGAACAGTTACCTTTTTAATTCTGTCTTTTACCAACATTCCAATTCATGTGTACAAAATAAAAACATTCAAAGCAATAGTTTCTCAAGTCATAATTTACATACTGTTGAATCTTTTTTTATTTTGTAAGTTATTCTAATATAGATGTAGACTAAGAATTTATTTTATAATGGTGTTCAATGAATATCTCATTACCATGTTTTTAATTGAAAATAATGCTTGCGAAATGATCGAAAATCAATTTCATAAATTTGAAATGGAGGAGTATATTTTTTGTAGAAATTACAACTTAGGGTAATTTCAGTCCTGGGAGGTTTGAACATATAAACCATTTTCCGTGATTTTGGTTGAAATTATTCAATTTCTACTTAAAACTTATTTTCATTTCAATGAAACAGTGTTTTTTTTATTTCTCTGGAGTATAAAAGATATGTTATAATTTTGAGCATATACAATGAAACTAACAAGTGTCTTAATTTCATTAGAAATATATTCTTTCCAAATTGTATTAATCATAATTAAGTCAGATTCTTTTCAATAAGTAGTTCTATTTTTTCTAAATTATTGATAAGGTATATTAATTTTATAATTACTGCCCACTATAGAATTCTTCGAAACTTAGTTTTTTCACTTGTTCAAATACTTAAAACTGTTTTGTCAGTTGTTTCATCTACCTCATTATCGTAATTTTTTTATTTAAGTATCGTCCTAATATTATTAATGTTATCGTTGATTTATGTTATGTCTCAGGGCATCTTGATTAGATGGATTGTAGCTAATTTTTCTTTTGCACAATATTACTTTTTCAATTCTGTGAAGTTTGGTATCCATCCGATTACTGATATTTGATTTGTTTGACCCATAAGTCTGATTTGTGAGGCTGCTAGTTGATATTTTGCGAGCCAACGGACTTTCATGTTATTGTTAATATGAAAACACCTAAATTCTCTTTGCAACCCTCTATAATTAGTTACTATTGACTCCTTCTTTTACTGTTCCATTTTTTAATTCACTCTCATGAAATAATTTTTTGAAATAGTTGGCTAATAGGTTGATATTTTACCCAATGACATTTTATACAGTTCGATGCTACGAACATAAATAATCTGATGTAATTCAACACAGACAAATGCTATGATACATAATTTTTGCAAAACAAGTACCATATTAACAAATTACACTAAAATTCAAGATGCCTGAATGTATATATTATTGAAGGTTATCCCTCTTATCTACTAATTTTTTATTACAATCATAATAGTAACTTCAGATTTTATTTTCTAATTGTTATTACTGAAGTTGAAATGAGTAATTTTATTATTAACCTGAAATGGTGAGAAAAGATAATTTGACAGCTCTGAATACTAGATTTTTCATGTTGATTTCAGGTGCTATGGTTTCCGAAATTTTATGAACTTTTTGCACAAAAATGGATAACTGGTTCTAGAAGGTTGCCTTTATTTATTGGTTATATTTATTTTTTAGCTTTTCTAATTTACAATCTGTTTGGCAAACATTATACAAAGATCTTTAATAACTTGGCTGTGAGATTGAGAAATTATTTAATGCAACATATCTTACTTTTTCCTGTTTTTCAAGGAATCATGCAATTTTATAATCATAATATAAATGAATTTTTATCATTGACTTTATTGATTCACTGCATCTCTTACTCAAACTTATTTTAAATAATTTTGCTGATTATTTGATTACTGCTTATATAACCCCTATTTTTATAAAAATTATTTATCTTGCCTTTTCAGTTATTTGACTAAAGTATTTCACCCAGGGAATTAAGAGATCAATTGGGGCATTTGCTAAGAGAATATCTAGAATATATTCTATACATCTTACTTCATTTAAGTATTTATGAGTTGTTGAAGTAAGTGTTGATAAGCATAAAGCTGGCAAAATGTTGGTCTCTCTTGGAACTATTGTTATTATTTTTCATTCCTAGGTTTACATACCTATCAATAGAAAGTTTATTTTAATTACAAGTACTTTTCTGCGATAAAATTTAGATATATCTAAGCAATACTCTGAAGTATCTTATTTCTCTTCTCACTGCCAAAACCTAAATATAGTTTTGAACTTGTAGATCTGTTATGAATAAATATTTGAATAAATTGTGTAAATGTGTTAATATATTTTTGTACGCTTGAATGATTGGGTAATAAAACGTATTTTAAAAAATAAATATTGATTAAAGCGAAAAAGTGTTTCAATTGATGGTGTATTGAGAGAAAACTATATAAAATGGCTCTATGTTGCAAGTCATCAAATTGTTCTCATCAAATATTGCTCTTGTAACCTCTTGGAAGGCTGATTTTTTGCATGTCGCGCCTCCCAGAAAAGGAACTTAACGATATGAATCATTTCAACATAAAATAATTCCAACCCCTACCCTTAGTGCATTAAATAAATTCACATTTCTCATAAAATTGAAAATAAACTTTGCAGGTTGGGTCTTTCAGAGGAAAAACTCGATCATATTAATCGTTTTCAACTAAAAAAACTCCAACCCACGCCCTCTGGAAAAAATCGAATTTCTCATAAAATTAATAGACATTGAAAATAAACCTTGCAGGTCGGCAAAAATTCTTGCAGGCTGAGCTTCCTAGAACAGAATCTCGACTTGATAAATCATTTCTGACAAAAAACCCAAACCCCCACCCTTCGAGTATGACAAAATTTCACAATTCTCACAAAATTGAAAATAAATCTTTCAGGTCGACGGAAATTCTTGCAGGTTGGGCTTCCCAGATGAGAAACTTTATCAGAATAATCATTTCTGACAAAAAATTCCTAACCCCCCATCCTCCGAGTTTGATAAAATTTCACATTTCTCACAAAATTGAAAATAAACCTTTCATGTCGATGGAAATTCTTGCAGGTTGGACTTCCCAGATAAGAATCTTGACCTCATTGATTACCGGTATCGTTTTCTATAGCATAAAACAAGCCCATTCTCATAAAAATTCCCCTTCGCAAAAATCTTTATCAGATTATTCATTTTCGCCAAAAAAATTTCATATTTCTTACAAAATTGAAAATAAACCTTGCAAGTCGGCAAAAATTCTTGCAGATGATTCTTCCCAGATGAGAATCTAGACCAGAGTAATCATTTCTGACAAAAAATTCTATGTATGTCAAAATTTCACATTTCTCGTGCAGGTTTGGCTTCCCAGATAAGAATCTCGACCATATTATTCATTTCCGACTTTTTTTAACCGACGGTTTAAAAAAATCAAATTTCTGATTAGCTTGACAATAAGCTTTTCAGGTTGGGTCTTCCGGATACAAATTTTGACCAAATTATTCATTTTCGACAAAAAAAAGAAAACCCCCAACCTTCGGGTGTGAAAAAAGTTCAGATTCCTAACAGAATTGAAAATAAACCTTGTACGTCGGGCCTCAGAGATAGAAATTTCGACTAGAGTAATTATTTTCGACAAAAAAATACTCAACCCCCACCCTTTGTGTATAATTTTTTTTTTCTTTTTTCTTTGGACGATAATTCACAATATTTAGTTTATCACAGTTTTTGAACACTAGCGAAATATAACTGTTCTCTCCTTTGTCTGGAAAAATTCCACTTGCTATTGATTGATTAGAGATGATCTATAATGACTTATTTAGAGTATAAACACATTTTTTCAGTAGATACGCTGGAATTCCCGCTGAACTACAAGGTAATCAATCTTAAATTTAAAGGAGTGTATCCTGTTCCTCTAATAGCTCAGTAAAAACCTTCTTCAGGGTCAATTTCATTCGGGAAATATTTATTGAACCATTAGTGAAAGCAAAGTTGTTACATTTTATAATTTTGCTCAAATAAACATTTGAAATGTGGGTTGTAAAAAGGTTTATAATATCAGAGCCAATAATCACTATTAACATTTTCAAGATATGTGCTGTTAGGTATGCAATATTCTTTTCGCATAGTATTAATATGATTTTAATATATTTTGGGCCTTTGTGAATTGAGTTATTGAGTATCAAAAGTCGTTTTAATAACACTGTTTGGTCAGAAGTTTGCATTGAGATCTCATCTCAAGCTAGAAAACAAATAATTATTGTATCTAAAGAAGGATTTGTACTTTGCATGACTTGTTTATGGTCACTTATTAATCGTTTCAATTCCGTAGAGTATCATTTGGGAAATTTACTAGTTTTCATCAATATTCAGGTACAAAGAGATTAAGAGCATTTGTTGAGATTTGGTAAAATTAGTGTCATCTGGTTAACGTCATCATTCTTTATTCATATATCCCAGTTAATTTGTTATTTACATTTGTAAAATACTTATTTGAAATCAACAAAAAATAAATAACAATTGCACAAAGAAACTTTCCCTCGGTTATCTTAAAGGTGAGATTTTGTTGCATCCTTTACATAAAAGAGAACGTATGCTTCTCCACTCACAAGCGACTTTGGTGAAATTGGTGACACGTGTGAATCGTTGCATTTGTGCCAAGCGCCAGTATACGGGTGTCTGCAGTATGCTGTCCTCTGTTAGTACTCCCACTGTGGTTTAAAAGTGCATATAGATTATAACAAGTGGCCACATTTTCTGCTGCAAAATTGTCCATATCCAATCCTTCTAGAGGAAATTCGATGACATCATTCAATTTGCCTCTACTTTCCGTTGGAGAGAATCTTTTTAAATGTATTACTAAAATATAGGGAAACTTGTGGATTGATAAGGACTTTGTGCATTTTCTCCTTTCGTTGCATTTCAAACACGTCGGTTTTTCATTTCCATCCAAAGTTTCTTCTCTTGTAAAAGAATCCAAGCATTGTCACAAAGTCAATTGGTCGGTTCTTTGTGGTATGGAGAGAGACTAATCCCAGAAAGGATCAAATGTTACTGAAGAGTATCCACAGTGTGTGCATTTCATCGTGGATTTCAATTGGCCAACGAAATTATCTACAATCTTAGAGTTATGCATCCTCAAATATGTTGCACCAATTAACACTAGTTAATTGGTGCAACATAATTATTTAAATCATAACCAGTATTTCTGAAATGATTCATGACTAAGATACATACAGTGTCACACATAAAGTTCGAGACGTATGGAAGTTTTTTTAATAATAGATATAATGAAAATTTGACTTCGCAGTTAGTTTGTGCTTGAAAAATGAGTGAGAATCAGCCTCTTTTTTTTGTCATGTGCTACTCTAAACCTGTCAAATTTGACATTTTTACGAAAATCCTCAAAAAATCTTTTTTTGGAAATTTGGAAAAATACCAAAGAAAAAGTTGTTCAGCTAACATGAAATATAGTTGTTCATAATGACCTGGAGTTGACACAAAGTAGGTCTGATTGACCTAGCGGCAATATTTCTAAGAAATATGACACTAAAATTCTTGAATAGTTTAGATATTTTTTTGATGTTGAATTTTTGAATTATACCTATACAAATAAACCTGGAAGACAGAAAACATTGAAACTAAAGTTCAGAAGTTGAGTGAAGTGATGACCTAGGAATTCTTTGGAATATTTCAAACCTTAGATATTTTTTATATTTCAATTTGTATGTTATTTTATGATTTCATCATGAATGTAGTACATAAATGTATATTTGAATGTGTAAATATATATCCATGTCTAGGAAACACACAATCAAAGGTGAGACTTTGTTAACCTTCAGTTCTCACAAGTTTCTACTTCAGAGAGTGGTGTCATTCATAAGTGGAGAATAACCCTTGAATATGTGTGACTGTATATACTCAGTCTCCAAGAGAAAAGGTGGACCAGAATGGGAAAGTCAGAAACTGTGAGGGAAATAAAGTCGGAAAAAGATGTCTATTTTAGAGCTTATTTAAATGTTTTTTGGCATGATAAACATTGGCATTATCTTCACATTACTCATCTATAAATCTAGCATTAGGCATCCTTGCTTTCTTCACTGGTAAGGCTCTTCTCATATGGATTACTAAAGATACAACTTTTTATAAATGATGCATTTACTAATTATTCTTAACATTCATTTGAAATAATAAGAATTCTATGGTATAGTCAAGAGAATTCCCAACATTATATTACAAAAATGACAGAATTATTTACAACTTTGGCCTATATATTTATCTATTGAGTCATATTTCCAATTAGTATCTTTCAAACAGTCTAATTCCTTCCTCAATACTTTTATCCTGGATTGGTGTATTTCTTGCAAACTGTTTTGTGCATTTGTTCTAACAATTTCGAAATACCTTGTGCATTTTACTGTTGAACTGGATGAATCTTCAGTCCTTTCTTCCTGATTAGGTGAAAGTAATATAGCTTTTGGTAAAATCGAAGAGCACATATCAAAAACCACTTGTTTATGGTCTATTCAAATTTTGATTTATCTTCTAAAGCGAATTTTTCACTTCTTATGCTTCTACAATACAAATAAGAATCTCTTCTTCTTCTCTCTTCTTTATTGGCCGATGCAAATAAGAATCCCGTTCACCGTACTTCTCTCTATGAAAATGGCTTTTGCTACCAGTAACCAGTAAACCAGTACCATATTACCATATTTAATACGGAAGCAAGAATAGAAATATACGCAATCACAGTGTTGCCAACCCAATTAAATTTTGTGCGACGTTAATGTGAAAAATACGGAAAATCCCATCGAGAAGTGCGAAATGTAAATTCATGGGAAAATAGACACATACTTGAATCACCACCTCAAATAAGCTCTATAGGTATGTCTAAAATTTTACGAAATGTAACAATGAAAAGAGTAACAAAAATAAACATATTCAAGAAATACTTTATTTATCTCACAATAAAGTGTTTCTTGAATACGTTATAAATTTTCATCAAATATGGGCCGATTCCATTACATATAAAAATAAAAATATCAAAGTACATTAAATAATATTGGTGGGCGTGCTCTTACAACTTATACCTAACAAATTATTCACTGTTTTCGGCAATCCCCAATGATTTCTATGTTTTCAACAGTTTCTCCAGGGTTACTATATAAGGGGTTTGCGAACTAGAGTCGACCTAGAGAAGGGGTACCTGAAGAAAGGGGGAGGGTGTGGTTGCAAACAAGGTTGTCATTTGGCATCAATGACATAGTTGCAGCAATTTTGACGTTACTGATACTGTTTGAATTTTATAATTGAAAATTACTTTGGAACTTTAGTTTATGGTTGGTTTATGAATTTTCCTAAAGTTTCTTGGGTGAACATTTATATCGATAAGA